TCCGAATAAAATAATATTACACATAAACTCAAAAATTCTTCTTACTTTTTAACCACACATTCTTTACATCAATCACTATTCAAAAACTCATTCTTCAAAAGAATGGGTGCCAAACACCCACTAAAAGCAAAAGGGTCAAAAAGGAAAAATTAAAATTTCTCTATTAAAACAAAAAAAAATGGGTAAAGGAAGGAAAAAAAAAAAAAGAATTCAAAAATCGTAATTCAAAAAACAAAATGCTCCACCTACCTCGTCCCTTCCCACCATCTCCAATAGTCATTATCGTGACATAGTAGTGTTATCCCTACACTGATTTTGTTGTAAGATCAAAATAGGGATATAGTCGTCTCGTAAGTGAACAAAGTTTAGTGATGGTGATAATGATAGTGTAAACAACCACGTCAATATTTTACGTTGTAATCTTCTACTTTCCCACATTTTTTATTTTCTTCTACCATAAAAAAAAGCCACTAAGATCTCATGGTAGGTGGAAGTGACTTTTTTTTTTTTTTGGGGATTTCATGTTTATTGATCTTATTATTTACATTGAAATATTGAATTAAACGCCACTAGAAAATGGATATTGAGTTTTTAATTATTGGTGGCAATGTCGAATGGGGTGGAATTTTGTCGATGATGACGTTTAGTGGGTGGGTGAAGGAGATGAATGAAATTTTGTCTCTATGTCAATCTTCCTTTTGGAGGGCTCATTTGGTAGTTCACGGTGTCTTAACGGCCAAAATGGTCATAAACCGTGTATAGGGACCAACTTTGCCTATATTTTGAAAGGTTGGGATGGATGATGCTAATAAAAAAGGTTTGGGTATATCCCAGACATTTTTGAAAGGTTGAGGGTGAAAATGAAAATGAAAATTTTCCCCAAACACCAAAAACATTTATCGACATGTTAAATCCACCAATGTCCACCCAATTTGATTTTATTTCACTATAGTCACCCAATTACCGTTTTACCCTTTTTCAAAATAAGTGAAAATTGTGAAAAGAAATTGGGTGACTATAGTGAAATAAAATAAAATTGGGTGGACATTGGTGGATTTAACATGTCGATAAATGTTTTTGGTGTTTGGGGAAAATTTTCATTTTCATTTTCACCCTCAACCTTTCAAAAATGTCTGGGATATACCCAAACCTTTTTAATTAGCATCATCCATCCCAACCTTT